ATATTTAAATATTATAGGGAATTCAAATTGTCAAATTCTCCTGAGTATAAGAAACTTTGCTCTTACAGCCTAGCTTGCAAATCACAGCAAATACTTCGTATCTTTGTGCTATTTTCTATTGATTCTGAGGTTGGATTTAAATACTCTGTAAGGAATGATTCTGAGTTTGATTTTGAATAATCTGTAAGGAAATGTGCACACGTATGCTGGTCATTCACACTTCCCTTACACTAGGTAATGTGAAACAACAACGTGTAGAACACGAGTAATCTGACCTATTTTAGTTCCTACTTCAGGATTAGAATGAACTGTTGGTTATATGTGTCTCTTTGTTCCAACTGACTTTTAAAGGGCATTGAAGCAACAAACTGCTTATCTGTTTACATCATTGACCTGTAGATTCAGTTTGGATACCTCAGTCGGAACGTTGAGCAGACACCCCAGCCTTCTTGACTTAAAATTACTGGAATGTGAGTCTCCAACAGTTTTGTGTGAAACCAGTACTGCCTCCTGTGGAAATCTCAGCTACCCAGGGACATCTAAACTGACACCAGAATCACTCTCCAAAACTTAAGTGACCCAAATCACTTCCACTGCAAGAATGCAAATCAACCTTCAGACTGAGAAAGAGAGAAATAATATGATGTAGGAAAATTCAATGCATCTTTAATTCTAGTTTTGTATTTTAACAATTTTATTACAGACCTCAGTGGGTTTATCCTCACATACTCCATGGCAGACACAAAACAAGAAAATCAGACATCCCTCACAGAATTCATCCTCTTGGGGTTTGGGAATCTCCCTAAACTACAGATCTTTCTCTTTCTAGTTTTTTTATTAATCTACTTTGTGACCATAATTGAGAATGTACTCATCATTCTTCTCGTCGTGATAGACCAGCACCTGCATACACCTATGTACTTCTTCTTGGGGAACTTGTCCTGCTTGGAGACCTGCTACACTTCAAACATCTCACCCAGGATGCTGGTCAACTTCCTGACAAAGAAAAAGAGAATCTCATTTAACAGCTGTCTCTTGCAGTTTTATTTCTTTGCTTCCTTGGCATGTGCTGAGTGTTACCTTTTATCTGCAATGTCTTACGACCGTTATTTAGCAATATGCAAACCCTTGCATTATACAACACTTATGAATGTCAGATGCTGCATCCTTCTGTCAGCCGGATCCTGGCTTTGTGGATTTCTGGCTAGCATAGGCACTACACTGTATGCATCCTGGCTGACTTTCTGTGGGCCCAATGAAATTGACCATTTCTTTTGTGATTATATACCATTACTAGTGCTCTCTTGCAGTGAAACCCGCAGAACAGAACTGATCATGTCCATTTTAGCCTCTGCATGCACCATGCCTCCATTTCTTTTAACCCTGGCATCTTACATCTGTATCATCGCTGCTGTGTTGAAAATCCCTTCCGGCATAGGGAGAAAAAAGGCTTTCTCTGCCTGATCCTCCCACCTCATTGTAGTCACAGTTTTCTATGGAACCCTAATTGCTGTCTATACCTTGCCCAAAACTAAAGCCCTTAAAGAGTTAAACAAAATGTTGTCTGTTTTTTATACTATCCTGACTCCTATGCTCAATCCTCTCATCTACAGCTTGAGAAACAGAGAGTTTAAAGAAGCTTTGAGAAAAGCTATTGGCAAATATATTCATTAAACTTATTTCATTTTTAAATTTGTGTGACAATACAGGCAAGTCATTGACTACTGGAATTAAATAAATTCCAATTATATTGACATATTCCATTAAGATGCACATGTCCATATTTCATTTATGCTGCTATGAGAGACTGAACTGTGGGACATTTGTCTCAAAGATCGCTTGGAGACTGAACTGTGCCCACCACTGACGTTGCATGGTGAAGCCAGACTGGTGTGATGCGAAGACCTCCACCACGTGCTGGGACATGCACAGTGCACCAAGAGGCAGCATGCAGCAAGCGCGTGTACCCCATGAGCACGCTTGAGAGGGGGTGCCGGACGTGTCGGACATGTCGGATGTGTAGGATGTGTTGGACATGCCAGACGTGTTGGATATGTTGGACGTGTTGGATGTGTAGGATATGTTGGACATGTTGGATGTGTTGGACGTGTTGGACGTGTTGGATGTGTTGGATGTGTCAGATGTGTTGGACGTGCTGCTGCCATGGAAACCCTCGGCCCAATGGACTTTCTCTGGACTGGCTGTAAAAGCCTGCAGGAAGGCGCCCCTGAAAAGTGTGTGTTTTGTTGTGGGTGTGTTTTGTGTTGTGTGTGTGTGTGAGGAGGCACGTGAGCAGAGGTGTAAGCACGTGTGTATGCGCGAAGGTGTGTGTTCACCGTCCAAGGCCTGTGCATAGTCAGAGTGTCGCGGGAACTTGGGTGGTAACTGTTTCTTGCCTCTCTATCCTGACTTCTTGCTTAATTTCTGCCTTTTCTTCCTCTCTTTCCTATCACTTTTACTTTTTATTGTCCTTAGTAAAGTTGGTTCGGGTGTACGGTACCTGACCTCGTTTGGTCTTAATCTCGCTCCTGGGATTGCATCAAGACCTCCCCGACTTTGGATGGGGACACCATGCACAGTCAATGGGCAGTCAGCTGTCAAACCAGAGATAGGAAATACTGCTCACCTTTATACGGAGCGGTGAGACACAAACAGTTTTAAGGCTTGATTAATCAAGCCAGATGGTTTAAAATGCTATGATTTATCTTCAGATAAAATCAAAGAACTTTAAATATTACTTCATTTTCTTTTAATCATCCATATACATTTAGGATTTGTAAATTCATACACGTTGTTATTTAATGAAATATTTCTATAGCTTGAATGATCAGGAAGGGGCTTTCATTTTGTCAGAAATTAAGGCATAAATGATTGCAGCTTGCTAGCGAAGTATTGTCCTAATTCTTAAATCTTTATATTGTTAGGACACCTTTTCAACAAAATAATATGAGGCAGCAGCAGAAGATAAGTATAACTGCACACTCTAAACTGTGGGGACCCTTTGTATTTACTGTATTTATTGACTTTATTCAGATGCCTAAATGCTGTAATTTTGAGTATGTCCTTGTCACTTTAGACGTGTCCTCAGGATGCGTAGAAGCCTGTGCTTGTAAACATGCAAGTGAAAGAACTGATGAAAAAAGGTTGCTGAGAGAAGTAAATTTCTGAGTTTAGTATTCCCCTAACACTAGATAAGAGGACCCACTTTACTGGATATGTAGTGTGGAAAACTTCTGCAGCCCTACACGTAGAACAGAAGTGTTATTTTACCCGTCACCCCCAATCCAATGAGGCTGCAGAGAGGAAAAACTCTGATTTTAAAAAGAAATTGGCAAAAATTTGTGCAGAGATTGACTTGAAACGTCCAGATGTGTTATCTGTCCCATTGATTATGTAAGAAGCATTCTGAATAGAAAGTATGGACTGTAACCTCATGAGACTTTAATTGGCAAACCCATGTGACTGTCATACACAGCACCCTGAACTCCTGTACAGCCAAACCTAAAATTGACAGATAATAGTCTTCTAAAATAATGTCAATTATTAATGAAATGTGTAAGGACTTTCCACACACAGCTGAAAGAATCACCACCGAATTTGCCACTGAAGTCTGTCACTCCTTGAAGCCAGGAGACTGGGATGACATTAAGGTACACCAGTGAAAAAATCCACTTCAGCTGTGCTGGAAGGGACCATATCACGTGCTGGGAATTACTCATACTGCAGTAATGTGCAAGGATGAACATGAGCTGGCAGTGTGCCCAGGTGGCCAAGAAGGCCAACGGCATCCTGGCCTGCATCAGCAATAGTGTGGCCAGCAGGAGCAGTGCAGGATTGTGCCCCTGTGAGGCTGCACCTTGAATCCTGGGGTC